TCCTTCATGTCACAATTCTAGGGGGGGACTGGACATGATCACACCTCACCTGTACACAGGTAAATACAGGGGTCCTTCATGTCACAATTCTAGGGGGGGACTGGACTTGATCACAGCTCACCTGTACACAGGTACGTACAGGGGTCCTTCATGTCACAATTCTAGGGGGAGGACTGGATATCATCACAGCTCACCTGTACATAGGTACGTACAGGGATCCTTCATGTCACAATTCTAGGGGGGACTGGATATTATCACACCTCACCTGTACACAGGTATGTACAGGAGTCCTTCATGTCACAATTCTAGGGGGGTACTGGACATGATCACACCTCACCTGTACACAGGTACGTACAGGGACCCTTCATGTCACAATTCGGAGGGGGGGGGGTACTGGATGTTATTACACCTCACTTGCACACAGGTACCTACAGGGATCCTTCATGTCACAATTCTAGGGGGGTACTGGATATGATCACACTTCACCTGTACACAGGTACGTACAGGGATCCTTCATGCCACAATTCTAGGGGGTACCGGATATGATCACACCTCACCTGTACACAGGTACGTACAGGGACCCTTCATGTCACAATTCTAGGGGGGGACTATATATCATCACAGCTCACCTGTACACAGGTACGTACAGGGATCCTTCATGTCAGTTCTGAGGGGGAGGGGGCTGGATGTTATCACACCTCACCTCCATACAGGTATGTACAGGGATTCTTCATCTCACAATACTTATGGGGGGCACTAGATATTGTCACACCCCACCTCACCCAGGTACGTACAGGGATTCTTCATGTCTCCTTCTCGGGGGCAAGTGCAGGATATTATCCCACCTTACCTGTACATAGCTATATACAGGGATGGCACAATTCTAGGGGGGTACTGATTATTATCACTTACTCACCTGCACTCAGGTACCAAAGGGTTCTGTCGTGCCTCAAATATTGGAGGAAGTGGGTATCACACCTCACCCGTACACAGGTATACACAGGGCTCCTTTATGTCACATTTCAAGGGGGGTATCAGCAAAAAGTTTCCCAGCACACTCACCAGCCAGCATGCAAAAAAACTTACCGCTAAGGATAAAAAAAGAGAGTTTTAGATACACGTCTTCTGCAGAACATGTGCAAGCCGCATAGCCGCGCCAAGGCACCTCTACATAGTGCAGTCGTAACTCTGACCTATGAGAGTCTCCATCTGCAGAAGACGTGTAACTAAACCTCTGTTTTTAACCTTAGCGGTGAGACAAGTTTTTTTGCATGCTGGCCGCACCGGCTGTGTGCTGGGAAACTTTTTGCTGTTACTGTATAAAGCCCTTCCATGTGCACCGCGCTGTAAAGTTGGTTATGAGTTGATGAGTGTGTTTGCCATTCGTTTTGCTTGACTGATTTAGTGCAGTGACACACTGGGGAGGTTGGGCTTCCGCCTGACAAACCTGCACCCAATTTAATCTTCTGCCCCATGTGCTCCAAGATGGAGACTCTTATAGGTTAGAGTTAGGACCGCACTATATAGAGGGGCCTTGACGTGGCTGTGCGGCTTCCACATGTTCTGCAGAAGACGTGTATTTAAGACCTCTGTTTTTACCCTTAGCGGTCAGACAAGTTTTTTTGCATGCTGGCTGGCGAGTGTGCTGGGAAAACATGTTGCTGTTTTACTGTATAAGGCCCTTCCATGTGCACCGCGCTGTAAAGCTGGTAACAAGTTGATGAGTGCACACAGGTTTGCAAAGGTATCCTTCATGTCTCAATTCTTGGTAGGGAGGACCAGATATTGTCACACTTCACCTGCGCCCAGGTATGTACAGGGATTCTCCATGTCTCCATTCTGGAGGATTCAGGCACATTCGTGTCTCAAATTGGGGGGTAATAATCACAGTGTTGAAGGTGGGATGGCACACACATACCTCTTTCTGTGCTGTCCTCCAGCAATGACGGGTCCAGCAGGGCCATAACCCTTCCCCACCCCATCTATAGCAAAACCTGGGCAGGGTCAAAATCCGTCCCTACTCCATCTATAAGAAAACCTAGCAGGAGTCATAACCCTTACCTACTCCATCCAGTGGCGTAACAATCGCCATAGCGACCCAGGAGGCCGCTATGGGGCCCGGGGCACAGGGGGGCCCGGCCAGATGCTGTGCGGCCCGCCTGGGTCGCTATGGCATCTTATGCTGGTGGCTTTCACTGGCGGCTGTGAGAAGAATGTGCTGCTGTTCAGTTTACTGACAGTGATCTGTGCAGCAACGCGTTCCTCTCACAGCCACTGCGGAGTTAATGAGAGCCAGCAGCGGCAGTGGAGCAGGCTGGACCTGGCAGTGGAGGAGGAGGCGGGGCCCGTGGTCGGCAGCAGAGTAGGAGGTGGGGCCCGGTGACGGAGAAGGAGGCGGGGCCCATCAGCGGTCATGCAGGAAGAGGAGGCGGACAGGTAAGGAGTGTGACCAGCCCACCTGAGGGTGACCCTGCAGATCCCACAATAGAGAGGGTCACCCTCAGGTGGGCTGCGTGCGATCTCAAGTGCGCTCTGCAAGGGGCATAACTAGAAGTCACAGGGCCCCATACAAAATTTTGCTATGGGGCCCTGTGATTTCTAGTTATGCCCCTGACCCCATCCATAACAAAACCTGACAGGGGTCATATCAAAACCCTTACCTACAGTGTTTATTTTCTACTGAAAACTTTATTAAAAATGATGTTACAAAGAAAAACAAACCCTTCCCTACTCCATCCATAACAAAACCTAGCAGGCATCATAAACCTTCTTTACTCCATGGGGGTCATAACCCCGAAAAGTCCATAAGGCAAAGTTGGACCCCTCGTCATGGGGGGAGTTATAATTGTCTGCTACAGCAAAGTATTTCCTCGGAATCATCCGGAGTTTAGTTTGAATGAAGATCCTCTCATGTACGATGTGTTCCTATGGAGGTGAAGAGCTCCTGTAGAAAGTGTCCCAGTACTGAAGGTAAAGTTACTCTTCTGGTACTTGGATGGAAGGGATTCCAGGTGACTGCCCACTGAGCCCCGAATCCCGGGAACCTCTCTATCATACAAACGTTATATGACTCTTTGCTACTTGTTTCCTCCCCTTTCATGGTTCTCCCGTCTTCCTAGTCACTACCTTCTGACCAAAAGCAATGGATGGGCTTCTGGGGAAGAACATGGAACCATGTGGGAGGCGCCTCCTGTGATGGGTCATCCATCAACCTTACACGATGATTTGGTTTCTTTCCAACACTTGTGTTTCCCTCGTGTACATTTCCATCACGGAGCTGAATAATCTATAGCAAGCCAAGTATGACGTTCCTTGCCCATCACCCTCCACCCTCCCAGGACTCCCACCACACAGAGAGCCCAGAAACACATTATTTTATTCATTTTCTCATTTCAGAAAAACAATTTGACTTCTAATGACATAAAATCCCGGAGTGCCATCCTCCTATTTCAGAGAGGACGGTCCATAAATTCTTCATGGTTGTCATTAATATGGTTTTTATTGCAGCTTTCCAGAAAAGAAATGGATCCACCAGGACACAATAAGAGCTCGTCCTTCTCTCATGTGGAATGTATACTCTTTGGGTTTCCAGGGGTAACAAAGCTCATCGTTGATCAGGGATGGAACTCCCTCTACATCCTTGGTTCTCAACTGGTGGGTCGTGACCCAAATGTGGGTCGCGACCCCGTGTTCAGTGGGTGACCACATGCCTGCCACTGCACTAGGTGGCCTCCCCCTTAGCTCAGCACAGTCAGTTCTAGGGCCAAGCAGCCATTCAAAATATGCTGCCCGGTGCCGAGTGTCAGTTTGAGGTGGGATAGGATGGGGCCTTGGCCGCGAGGGAGCTCCATCCATAAGTGCATTGCTTACAGCTCCCACACGTGTCCTGTAGAGGTGGCTGGACCGGAGGACCCCAGCCTGAGGATCCACTCCAGCGATTTACGCACTTTACTATGCAATCGCGCATTCTGGTGTGGGAGGTATGTTGCATTGCCATTCATTTGAATGGCACCACCAAACACACCGTCCACCCACCGTTCGATCACCTGCACTGAAACGCACGGTACCGCAATGCTTCGGAGCAACTTGGGTCATGACTTAAGGACCAAGGACAAATGTGGGTCCCGGGGTTACACAGGTTGAGAACCGCTGCTCTACATGATGGTCCACAATGAGGGTTTTTCAGGTGTATTTCCTATTTAAGAACATATTTGTCTGATAATTGTAGAAGAGTTCCGTGTGAAGCTTTTATTTCACATGTGAAGAGGATCGTATATATAAACGAATGTTGTATCTAATGGATATCTTTTGTTTTACAGACATGGATCTATCAGGCCGTAATAAGAGCTCGTCCTTCTCTCACATGGAATTTATACTCTTTGGGTTTCCTGGGGTCACAGAGTTCCGACCCCTCCTGGCTCTTCCCTTCTCCTCCATATACGCGGTGATACTGGGTGGTAATTCTGTGGTTACGTTGCTCATTGTATTGGAGAAAAGTCTACACACACCGATGTATACACTCATCTTTTCTCTTCTGGCCGTCAATGTTGTCTACACCACGGCCATCACACCCAAGATGCTGCTAGCACTGTTTGGCCTGGACCAGATCACCTTGGCTGGGTGTTTGGTGCAGATGTTTGTTGTATATTCCAGCATCATGGCCGAGTCCACAATTGTGCTGCTCATGGCAGTAGATCGGTACCTAGCCATCATCCAGCCACTACATTACCATGAGATTGTAGGCAAGCAATTGGTTGTCCACTTGGCAGTCAATGGAGTGATCCGTAATGGTGTATTTGTGTTCCCTCTGGTAATTTACGCTGCCCGCCTCTCCTACTGCAGATCCAACGTCATCCATCACTTCCATTGTGAAAGCATGATGCTCTTCAGCCTGGGGTGCGGGGAGTCTAGAGCCCAGATCATAGGATTGGTGGTGAGGACACTCACCATGTTTTGTGACATCACCATCATCTTCATTTCCTATCTGAAAGTCCTTCACACGGTCCTGAGGATCGCAGCGGGAACGGCTCGGTATAAAGCTCTCCACACCTGCAGCACCCACCTGGTGGTGGTCGTCCTCATTAACGCCTTCGGATGTATAATCTCTATTTTGCATTTGCTGGGGAACTCCGCCTCCTACAACCTCCAGAATATCTGCAGTGCCATCTACTTCCTATTCCCGGCAATGGTGAACCCATTTATCTACGGTGTACGGATGGAGGAGATCAAGAGCAATCTACAGAGACGCTGGAGGAAGAAGACACATAACTCCATTAGAGACAGAAGACACTGAGACTGGTGTGACATCTCTCTTCACTTTTTTTTCCACTAGGTTTTGGTTTTGTTTCAGCAATTTAAAGATTACAATGGGAAAGGCTTAAATATAATCAACCAATAAAACCGCGCTCAGGTGTAATAATAAGATTATCGGTATCGGCCGCAATGCAACCAAGTAAAATACTATAAAATGATGAATAGCAATGCACGGCGCTAAACCTTTATATCTTCAAAACTCAAATATATAAAGTGTCCATGTGCAATATCAGAATCAGTGTACATATAAAACTTTATTATCACATAAACATAATGTGCCAATAAGCATCCCAGTGTGCAATTCACATGCAGTGCAATAAAGTGCAAATGGAATCCACAATATAAAGTATATAAAAGTGTTATAAATATTCTCACAGTCCAACATCCAGTGTGGAGACTCCTTATCACTTACCTGGTGGAGGACCAGGGCAGCCATCAGAAATTTTGGGGCCCCCTACACGGCTTTAGGCCGCCCCCCCCGCGCGCCGCTGGACGCAGGGCTTAGTGACGCGCTGGACACAGGACCCACCTGAGAGTGACCCTGTAGAGCCCACCATAGATGCTGCACAGCCCATCTGATACTCTCTATGGTGGGCTCTGAAGGGGTCTTTAGTGGGCTGGTCAGGGCTGCATCTCCCTCCCTCCTTTCCTTCCTTCATTCCTAGCTCCTCTTACCTGCACACGTGGCCTCGTCTGCTGCCGGACCGGCCAGAAGTGCCGTCACTTCCAGCCAGTCCGACATCAGACGAGCAGCGTCGCTGATGGGGCCCCAGCTCGTCTCGAAGCCGCTGGAGCGGCAATACTGGTGCCCTGTGCTGCTAGGGCCAGGCCTCCGCCTCCTCGCCCTTCACCGTCTGCCGATAGTCATATAAAGGACCCAGGCGGGCCCCCCCAGGCTGCCCAGGCCCCTTACATTAGTATCGGCCGTACCCCCCTGATGGCTGGCCTGTGGAGGACCGATAAGTTGAGGAGGCCTCCCTTGCGGCTCTTGTCTCACACCCCTGGATGGGGAAACAGGGAGCGAGTAGACAGAGAGAAGCACGGGTGATAAAGTGTTCAGACACGGTGCCTGGTAGAAGTCCGGCAACTGGGTCCCTGGAGGGATGAGCAGGGCTGGTGCACAGCTGTGAGGTCAGCGTGGTTTGCAGCAGAAACTGGAGCGAGGTCAAAGAAGCCAGAGGTCAGGCCAGACGGTCAGCACGGTGCAGAAGGAGCAGGCAGAGTCCAGATAACAAGCAGAGGTCAGGGGCAGGCAGCAATCAGTCCAAATCAGCAGCAATCCGGGTCGAGGTAACAGGCAACAGATCAACAGGAACACAAGCTAAAGGTGGGTGAGCACTGACCCATTGGGCCGGCTGGTTTAAATGGGAACATCTATTAGAGGGGCGTGAGTCATTTCCTGTGCGCCACTGTGTCACTTCCTGTGTGCAACTGTGTCACTTCCTGTGCGCAACATTCTGTTGTGTGCGCATGCGTAGTAGCGGGCAAGCTCCCGGCTATGGCCTTACACTCTCCTTCCCCCAGTAAATTATTCATCCGAGTGCATAAAGTGTACATAGATGTAACAAAGTGTTTCCATCTTCCACCAAATCTTTTGGCATGCAAAGGGTTTCTGCAATCCACCGTGATCCGAAAATAAATCCGCCCTCTGTGCCGTACGCTCCTTCTTCAGCCGAGAGCCCTGCTGAACCTCGATCCCCCTGGTGGTCTCACTGGACCCTCAGCCCCACTCCAGCCAGACACCCATGCTGGTGGTCTCAGTGGTGGTTCCTGTCTGTGAGATTTGTGCTCTTCTGTAACCCCCCCCCATACAACGTATAGACCTCTATAGTCTTGTCATATAAAGCGGTGGTTTTCAACCCGTGTAACCTCCGGACCCACATTTGTCCTTAAGTCGCGACCCGAGACGCGCTGCAATGGAATGCACAGCATTGCGGTATTGGACTGTGGGCGGGAGGTGACTTTGGAGTGTCATTCAAATGAATGGCAACGCAACACACCTTCCACACCAAAACGTGCAGTGGGTGCGATTGCGCGGTATAGTGCATTAATCACACGGGACTGTACTAGTGGGAACGGACCCTCAAAAACACACACACCAAAAAACAATCTGAATTCTTTTTTTTTTTAAGATCCCCCCCCCCCCCCTTATGATAACAGGAGCGGATCCTCAAAAAGGAAAAATTCTCAAATTCAGCTCGCTTTCCAGTTCAGCTATTTTGTCCTAGATTGTCCTATATTGATTCTCCTGCCTTCTCCAAACTCTTCACCCTTTTGTGAATAACCCTGTTCACTTTTTTGTAAAAAATTTTAAGGTCAACCCAGCCTCCCTACCTTTTGAGAACAGGAGCGGATCCTCAGCCTGGGGTCCAGCGTGGGCTGCTGTGCTGTGACTGAGCTCCATCCATGTGTGCAGTGCTGGTACAGCTCCCTTACGCCCCCCCTGTAGAGGTTCCGGGAGCCAGAATGTGACACCAGTCCAGTCCAAATGTCCAAGGACCTGTAGCACACCTTACCGGACTTCCCATGTGGAAAAATGGGTGCTCGCAATGACTACGGATGGCGCCGTATCGGATAAAATGTTGTATGGATGTCACCAGCACTCCAAGTATGACAGAATACGTCAAGATTTTTAGTGAATCTTCATTTTATTTTTGAAGTCACTTAAAGTGGAAACCAGCGCTTTCGGGGCCGCGCAGGGTCCCCTTCATCAGGCTTAAAGTGAACACATCCAGTCCAGGCACTTCTACAGGGCACAAAAACAGCAACAGTGTCCCAAGGGAGGAGTGCGGTAAAAAGCGGTTACTAAACAGACCGAGACCGGTAAATATAAAAGTATAAACTTTATGTGAAAACATCAAAGTATCGCACCAATAATACCGCCTGTCAATCATTTCATAAAAGAGCAACGTTGTTCATAGCACTCATTCATTCATCCTATGGGCCCCACACAGTCTACGGCAATACATATCTTCCAGGTACGAGGGAGATAGGAATCAGGTGTTAAACTGGGAGTACTATCGGTAATTGTGTCCCCGTTTAGCGGTGATGTTTAGCTCAGAGATCTTGTGCATCTACTTAGAGATATAGCTAAGTAGATGCACAAGACCTTTTCACCCACCCAGAGGCGTAACTAGAACCTTCAGGGCCCCGGTGCAAGAAACCATGAAGGGCGCCCCCCCCCCCCCCCCCCGCCCGCCACCGGG